TGTACTGTATTTCTTGTTTGCATCAAATTGAAATTGATACTTGAGAATGAATGATAGGGTTTTACCGATGACATTCATCGCATATTAGTTGACAAGTAATTTGGCTTAAATTAATTTAAACTCTGTGCATATAAACTGACAATCATATTAAGTTATCAATCAATCATTGTTAGACTACCATTAGAAAACTGGAAGAAGCACTGAAAGACGACCGTCAAGTCCTGGTATGGGGCTCATCAGAGGCAGTGCGCATCCACGACTCCTTCATCTCGCACGATTCGAACCTGAGACCTTCGGTATTGTGCTCGAAGGCCTAAACATCGGACCGCTGGGCCAGCATCCAACGGTGTTAATGTCTAACTCTGATTGATCTACGGATTTTGCGCGACCTCACCCATTTGTCTTTGGTAGTTACTACCTACAACCAATAGGGTTGAACTCCATTGGTCACGCACTGCTGATGAGTCCCATATCAGGACGAAACGGCCGTCTTTCAGTGCTTCCAGGTTTCTAATGTTGGTGGTCTAACAATGATTGATTGATGATTTCAAATGTGTAAAAACACAAATCTCCAAAGCTCTAACTGAAGATAGTAAGTTATACATGGGAATCGTGAATCAATGATTGTTCAAACTTGTCGATTGTAGGTACTTAATCACCAAAGATAATGGATAAGGCCACTCTCAGTATCTCGGATATTGATTGAAATTAGACATTAATACCGGTGGATGCCGACTCAGTAGTCTGGAGCTAAGGTGTTTGCATGGGAGATCTTAGGTCTTGGCTTCGATTCCCGCGAGCATGAATTGTAGATGCGCACTTCTTAAGTGTCACTTACTAGGACAAAATGGCCGTCCAATCCTTTCAGGCTTCTAATGATGGCCCAATAATCCGAATAATTCTACAATGACAAGTAATAAGTTAGACATGTAAGCCATTGAATGTCGACATATAGTGTGCGAGACCGAATATTCCATGGTTTGTATCCCGGTGACACGGTTGTGGATGTGCACTGTGGCGCAAGTTTGACTAAAATGATATCACTCAGAAAACAAACGAGCAAAATCAATTCCATACGAAAAAGTGATCAGTATGGTAATGTTACGTTCGTCACTAGGTACGCTTAAAGCTACTACAAGTTCACTTGAGTCGATAATCGCAAACGAGACAATGAACCAGCGTCCAGGTAGGCTACCTTGAATCCCAAAACTGCAAAACAGAAGTCTTGATAAGAGTAGAAAGTATATTCTACAACACCCAGCAATCACACAATACAATCAAGCACACTACTCTCGTTTATTTATACATCATATAAAACGTCCTTGGAACAGTCATAAAAATAGCACACTAAAATACACAGCAGCCAATCACAGCCATGGATTTTCCTGGTGGGAAATGTAATCTCAATGTCAACTGATCAGTCTATGCTCACAAATATGAAATCCGAAATAAGGCATTTATCAAGCGAGTTCTGGGGGATCTAACATCCCCAACAGATAACTAACTGTGTGAATAAATCGATATGTGTTCACACGCAGTTGTTCATTATCAACTGCTAATGAGTGTTCACTCGAATAGAACTCAAGTTCAAATAATGAAAACGTAATCATCCATGTGATTTGTATTTAAAAAGTAGTATTTGCAATGCCTACGTCATTTTGATTTATTGTCAAGGTCAAACAGATCAATCAATATCAGTGTGTTTTTCTTTTTGTTGTGGATTTCGATTTTTAATTCCAATGTTCAATATTTATTACAAGGACAAAATGGCTGTCCACTCACACTCTATCTGATTTTTCCACAATCTCTCTATTCGTAAATGCATATACGTACGATTTCGGGTGCGTAATTTCATATCATAAAACTATACACAAGTTGTTCAATATCCGATTTTAAAACGAATTGAAAAAACGGTTTTAATCAAGGCGTATTGCATAAAATATGCTAACATACACAAACATGTGCGCGCACACAGTCTAAAACGAACACCAACATACCCATGCACATAGGACACAACAAACAGTGAAACAGACAAACAGTCGAATAAGTAGCGACCACAATCATATTTAACAGGTTTAATTAATTGGTCTAGCGTTTTGTACTATAATTGAATAGAAAATTATCATTCATATAATAAATAGTAGTAAACATCAATCAATCACTGTTAGACCACCATCAGAAACCTGCAAGAAGCACTGAAAGACGGCCGTTCCTTCCTAGTATGGGACTCATCAGCAGTGCGCATCCACGACTCCTGCACCCCGCAGGATTCGAACTCGGGACCTTCGGCATCGTAGGCGAACGCCTTACCATCGGACCACTGGGCCGGCTGATATCCAACGGTGTTTATGTCTAACTGTGAAGGGATTTTGCGCGACCTCACCCATTTGTCTTTGGTAGTTACTGCCTACACCCGACGGGGTTGAACTCCATTGGTCACGTCTTCTCATTACTAGAACTCCGAGAATTTCCTCACGAAGAAGCTAGTCACTAGTGAGCACTGTTACGATATTTTGGGGCAGAGTTTTGAGAATCTGGTAGCGTGACCACAGAGCCGAAGAGACAAACCACATGAGATCGGTCATGCACTTTTGAAATGGCCTTACCACCGGAGATGAAAATCCATGGAGTTTGGTGAGGTGTGACATTTTTAGGGTCGACATTTTCTGACACATCCCTTCCATTGTGTTAAGACAGCATCGTTGCAGATGCTGGTTGCCTGAGGAGAACACCTTACTACTGTCCTACTTCTCTACAGTCAACAGTACAACTTCGCCCGCAAACCTTAAATTGTTGCTTTTACTCTCATTGTTCGCTAATCGACCTGCCTGTCATGGTAGAGAACTTAAAGGAGTATAAGTCTCCCCAGTCAATATAGCTCGGTTTGATCATCACCACGATTGGCAAGCCTGATCGCCAAGTCAAGGCAGCAGCTACGATTAGGATATACGTGTACAGTCAATTTTATTCGTAAGCCTACTTACAACCACCATCAACATTAACAGCTTGAAGACAATAAGAGTATACAGCCTCCTGATAGGCTTGCAGCTATCACGAGTCACTTTACTCGGAACGAAGATCTGTGATTCAGCGACAAGATAGGCTACACTAATCCGATCGTCCCTGGCCCCACTAACTAGACCACGAAGTCTTGATAAGACATAGAGAGAATGTATTCGATAGGCACATAGAAATTCAAAATCTCAATATAAAATTACATAACTAGGACTTTTCCAAAGTGAGTTGTGGGAATCTGATGTCCCCGACACTCCATTACACAATTATTATCCGGAATTTAATCCTATGCATGGATAATTATTTTCGAATGAATGAATGTAGGATACTGCCGACACACACACATACATACACATTTACTGAAGAATGAAGAAGTCACTTGTGATTACTTGATAGAGCTATGGGTGGCCAAGCTCAAACATGGCACCAAACCATTAAGTTACTGACAACTGAGCTGAGTCATGTTGGTAGGTGTCAATTACCTGGTTGCGGCCAGCGAGATGATCGTAATCGATGATTAGAGAACCTGGATGACATGGCTCAAAAACGTTTGCAATAGCGCAGACGCATTCATAGTTTGTGTTCTCTCAAATTCTAACCTTCTGAATTCCTTATCACCTTTATCTTTTTCTTTTAAGTATATTTCACTAGATTCTACTTCTTGAATAGTATCTTCGAACCCTAATCTCTTCGATTACTGCTAATACTTGCACTACCTCTACTGAGAAGAATGAGGCAGGCGAGGAAGATTGAATTATGCAAATTTACACTCTTAGTCAATTAAAAACGAAAACATTACATTGAATAATCTATTTGCACACCATCTTTGAGTCGTGACTTCCAACGCTCTATGCTTCTTCCATTCCTGTTGTTGCTTCCTTTACTTCCTGTTGGTACTCCATTTATTTCTTGCTTTTGCTCCATTTGCTTTCGGTTTTCCTCTTCTGACCGTGCGACTTCTTCTTTCACGTCCCTTCTTATACTACTTATATCGTTCTTATAAGTAGCACACACCACACTACTACTACGGGGTTTGAAATGACAGTTGTGTCTTTACGCTAATGTAGTATGGAAACCTGAACTGATGTACATTCGTACGAAGTCCTATGTTTTTTTTGTCGTTGTTGACTGACTGACTGAGTGACTTGACAGAATGGCATATGTTAGGAAATTCATGTAATCTCCTAAGAGAATTATTTGTACGTCTAATTCTCTTGGTCAATACCCATTGGTTGTCCCAACTGTCAATGTCACACACTTCAATGTTGTTTCTTATTCGATCTAACTGAATAAATATGCATTATCTGTAACGGACCCGGACCCGGATCCCTAGTCTGGGACCCTGGTTCTCTTCTGGACTCGGACCTCTTACTTTCTGGATGCTTGTAGAATACAAGTTCTACTTCATATCAAATCTTCTTCTTTTACTCAATATGGGGTTTGTGACACTCGGATTAGAGTAGCATGTCATGTCGCCGGATCCTCGATCCTCGATCCTGTTTCCCGACTAAGGTAAACTCGTAATAGTTTAAACATATCAAAAATGATTCGTTTACGTGCATGCCTAACAGCATATTTTCGATTTATTCTTGTTCAACTCTTAACAACAGCATCAATCATGATTAACATACATGAAAATATTTGAAACAAGTGATTAATGTGAGAAAAATAACAGAAGAGCATGCAATCAATCCGGGTCTAAACATTGTGCTCTACACACAGACACACACACACACACACGCCTGTACTTAATGTGTCCATCATAAGCGCGTTGTACAGATAGTTTGTAAATACTGTTCAACCCAATCATTCAATGCGTACCACTGACCATCACCACCACCGTACCACCGACCTCAGTGCACTGCATCAACCCTTTACAAGTTGAGTTGTGACAATATTTTTTTTAAAATAAAAAACATCCTAACAATCATCATACACAACATGATTGATTGACATACAACAACAGAAACTGGCATAATGTAAATTTAGAATGCAGTAGAAAATACAAACGCAACAACAACTTGCAATTTACCTTTTACAGAAGCTGTACGTTTACAATTGTACAATAGAGCTAATTCACCGAAACATCGACCAGCTCCCATGATATACAAACGTTTACCACCTTTGGATACTTCAAATTCACCTTCTGTAGAGAAAAAAAAATAAGTAGAAAATACAATGAATGAGTGAGTGAGATAATTTCATCATAGAGAGAATTATTTAGGCACGTAAAACAAAACATTTGACATAAAAAGGTCCCCTAAGTATTTGTCAGGACACAAATTAGTCAATTTGTCATTGTGGACAGCGATATTGTCCAGATGTCTGAACTGAGTGAATGGTAAGCGGTTTTCTTTAAGAAGCGACCACACACACACACAGCAAGCCTTTGTGATGTGAAAGTTTATTTCCACAGGTGAGTGGGACAACGTCTTCAGTCAGATGCAACGTAGAACTTTGTACGTAAGTACATCAGTTCATGTTGCCATACCACATCAGCACAGAGAAGTAATCGTCAATTCAAATCCAATAGTAGAACAGGTAGTAAAGGTATTAGAAGTAATCGGAGAGGTTAGGATTAGAAGATATTATTCAAGAAGTATGATTCAGTGAGAAAAGTTTAGAAAGTCAAAACTAGAGGGGTTGAAGAATCCAGAAGATTAGGATTTGAGAGAACACAGAGAATAAATGCACCGGCACCATTGCAAACGGTTTTGAGGCATGTCATTCAGGGTATCTAACCATCGATTATTATCATCTCGCGGACCCCAACCAGGTAGTCGGCAACCACCGACGTGACTCAGTTCACTTGTCAGTGACTTCATGGATTTCTGTCATGTTTTGGTTTGGCCGCCCCTAACTTTCGTCCAACCTATTCCTACACTACAAAACAAAGCTCGTCGAGGCAGTCGGTGGTTAGGCATACGCAACACAAGTCCCAACTACCTAAACTGATGAAGTTTCACCACTTCATCTATTGATCTTCAACTGAATATTAATGAATAGATACTCACTCAGCGTCGAGATCCACAAGAAAAATTTTGTAATGATCAATCGGGGTACTTAGTAGATGATAACTAGCTCTTCTATCCCATACACAAGATCAAAATACGAATGAAGACGGCGAGTGACTACAGCAGCAACTTCTGTAGTAGTAGGCCTCAATAGGAAAATAAAGGAAAAAGCAAGACCCCGAAACGCAACACATTAAGCATCAAGTAAACCACACTTGATGAGGATGCTCCGAAAAGGTGGAAACATCTCAGTACCTAAGCAGGATCATTGTATATACACGGTGGATTTGATGCATATTTAGAAACACGAACTGATTGACAAAGCAACAGCAGCATTTATACAATCGAAAACTCTAAACAACTATCAACAAACACTAAAGTCACAATTTTCAATACAAACGTCAACATAGTTCTTCTAGTCTATGTAGTGGAAACCTGCAGAACTACGAAAACAATTACCCACAAGATACCAGTGTTTATTAACACAGTTGTCTACGCAAAATATTTCGGATCCAGACAATATCAGCAACAACCTACTATGGGATACCGCAAACCAGATCCCAGTTGGGAAAGAAATTATCAAAAAGCGCTGGAGGTGGATAGGACACACACACACATAACGTAGAAATCACCCAACTGCATCACTAGACAAGCCATAAATTTGGAAGACCAAAATAAACACATTGCTTCAAGAACTCTAGTCAGTCAGTCAGTCAGTCAGTCAATCAACTACAAAGTAGAACTTCGTACGAACGTACGTACGTGTATCTCAGTTCGAGTTGTTATACTATACAACATTAGAACAGAGATGCAATAATTTTCAATGCAAATACCATACTGGTAGAGATAGTAGAAGTATAAGCAGTAATTCGAAAGATAAGAGTTTGAAGGAATATAATCAAGTGAAGAGAAGGATGAAGATGATGAAGAATTCAGATGATTATAACTTGAGGCAACACAAAGAATGGATACACCCGAGTCATTGCAAACGATTTTCAGCCATGTCATTCAAAGTCTCTAACCATCGGTTACTATCATCTTGTGGACCCCAACTAGGTAGTCTACACACCTACCAACATGACTTAATCCACTTGTCAGTGACATCATGGATTTGTGTCATGTTCTCGTCTGGGAGAACTATAGACAAACATGAAAAAAATCATTAACAATTAGAATAAACTGATGAATAGAAAAGCCGAAGACAGAGTTGGTAGACAGATTGCCGCCAGTCAGCAGCGGCGACCTATGCATCCCATACGAGATGATGACGAAATTTGCATTACAGGGTTGTGAAGATTATTAAGTTACACATTTTTGAAACCGTAAGATACCGACCGGCTCAGTGGTCCGATGGTTAGGCGGTCGCGCACAATACCGAAAGGTCCTAGGTTCGAATCCTGCGGGGTGCAGGAGTCGTGGATACATGCGCACTGCCACTACTGATGAGTAGTCCCATACCAGGACCACGAAATGGCCGTCTTTCAGTGCTTCTTCTTTCAGGTTTCTCTAATGGTGGTCGTCTACTAACATTGATCGAGTCATGGTTTCAAAAATGTGTGTAACTACGAGATCGACTTAAAAGAACAATCAATCAATCAATGTGCCTAATCAATCTTGTTATTATACACAATAATACACTAGTAAAGGCAGAGCAATATTATGTTTTGTCGTTGAAATGTTTTCAATTCTAAAGCAAAGCAATAAACGGATAAAAAAGGCTTTACAGAATAAAATGAAATGAAATGAGAAAAAAGACAAACGTAACAATAACAACAATGGATATTGCCAGGTAGAGAATAAACAAACACACACACACACAGACACACACATAAACAAACAAACAGAACCAAATCTATTGATCATTTTTTTCCAATTTGTTGACAAAACAACACAAAACAAGATTATGATTAGATAAAAGTGAGGAGGAGGAGGAGAGGAGAGGGGGGAGGGAGAAGGCGAGTGAGCGAGCGATCGAGCCAGTGAAATGTTTCAATAACAACAATAATAACAACAGGAATATGAGAACAGAAATGGTAGAACAACAGGTGAGATTTTCTGCTCTATTCAATATTGGACAAAATAATTCTTCTATGTTGGCGTATTTACAACTAACTAACAACTGACTGACTGACTGATTGATTAACTAACTAACTAACTGCTAGATCAATGGATTGGTGAAATTCAAGTGGTATGTGTACATTTGTATTTTGCTTCTATTTACTGAGAAGTTATAAGCTTCTTAGCCAATGTTTTTATTTGTACATATAATAATTATATACAAACTAGATTGATAAACAATATTTTATAGGATTGTGGAAATGATTGAGTTTTAGTCGACATTATGAATCGATCCGTGTTAGGCGACCATTGGAAAGGGGCCTAACAGTTTCGTCCTAGTTTAGTGAACACTTATCTGTTACGCCTCCACGTTAACACGTCAACTTGATATGCTTGGAGTATGACGAGTTTACTTTAGTCGGAAAACGAGAGCGAGGATCGAGGATCCGGGGACACGACAAGCTACTCTAATCCGATTATCCCAACCCTCATATTGAGTAAACGAAGAAAAGACTTGATATGAAGTAAAAGAACATGTATTCTAAGAGCATCCAGAAAGTGCGAGGTCCGAGTCCAGGAGAGAATCAAGATCCAGGACTAGGGATCCGGGACCGGGATCTAGTCATAAAACGTTACAGATAATGGATATTGATACATTTTGGTCGAATAGGAAACAGCATCGAAGTCTGTGACATAGACTGTTAAGACGACCAATAGGAAGCAACATTTGAAGTGACATTGATAGTCAGGACAACCAATAGGAAACAACATTGGAGCACGTGACATTGATATCTAGGACGACCATAAAATTGACCAGTAGGAATAGAACAATAATTCTCTTAGGATATTGGATGAATATCCTAACAACATCCACGACCCTAACAGGCGGGAATCGAACCTAGGACCCACGATCTTACGCACAAATGCCTACCCTCTTGACTATTGAACCGACATCCAATGGTAATAATACCTAACTTTAATCAGTCAGTGACATTGACCAACCATCACGCGACATGATTAAATCCCACTGATCATGTTTTCTTATAAAAACGTCAAGAATTTCATCACAAAGTTGGTCACTAGTAAGCACACGATAATCACCAGTATAGAGGTGTGGTCAAGAATTAAACCTTTGCGCGCGAGACCGTATATTCTGGGTTCGACCACCACTTTCAAGGTCGTGGATGCACACTACTGATGAGTCCTATAATAAGATGAAATGGCCATCCAGAGTTTCCAGGCTTCTAATGGTGACCCAACACTGATTAAACAATTGTGCAAGACCAAAGGCCTTGAGTTGAGTGAAGTCGTGAATGCATATTTCTGAGAAGTTCCATACTAAAATGAAACAGCTGCTGATTGATTTCAGGTTTTTAATGGCTGTGTGTAACTTAGAACGGTTCTTGATCATAAAAAAAATTCAACATTCTTCATAACACGCTTACTGATGATACATACTCATTATGTGGTCAATCGTGTCTTTCAGATCTCTAGTGAGATAATGTGACTAGTCGAGTTCAACTATGTCCGATAATGTAGAAGGTAATATCAACTACATTGACAATACCGCAGAAATAATCATACATCTAAAAATCACTACGGAAAATGACAGTCCTATTTTGTACATTAAATAAACACCGTTAATCTATTTGACAAATATTAGGTTGTACAATAACAAAGCAAAGTTTATCGGGAGACTATGTGATATATATATATATATATACAAATATATGTTAAAAACCGCAATACATTTCCGATAACAATCTGATCATAACACAATGACTTGGTACAACATGTTATGTACCCAAAAAATAAAATATAAATAAAAAGGTCAAACCTAGGACATACGCATTTGAAAAAGACAACAGAGCAGCATAGATAATGCAGGAAGACAATTATGAATCATACTACACTACACCAAAAATCAATATGATCAAGGTAAGTGTGTAAGTGTTCAAGGTTTCAGAATAAGTATTCAATCAACCAACCATCTTAGCCCCTGGATAAAATAGTTCAAAAGTTGAATTCATGTTAGCATTGGTTCGTCTTATCTAAATATTAAACTGTTGATTAC